CCTCTCCACAGCCTGTACTGGGAGGGTCCCTGTGGGGGGTGCAGGGCTAGCCCCACCCTCCCACCGGCTGTACTTGGGAGTCCCTGTGGGGGGTGCAAGGCTAGCCCCACCTCTCCACAGCCTGTACTGGGAGGGTCCCTGTGTGTGGGCAGGGCTAGCCCCATCCCCACAGCCTGTACTGGGGGGTCCCTGTGTGTGTGTGGGTGCTTGGCTAGCCCCACAGACCGTACTGGGGGGAGAGGGGGTCCCTTTGTGTGGGGGTAGTGTAGGGCTAGCCCCACCCCCTACAGCTTGTACTGGGGGGTTCCTGTATGTAGTGCCCCCCCCTTACAGCTTGTAGCCGTCATGACTGGTCCTTATGACTTTGTGTATGTGTGTAGGGGAATGGACAGTGCTATTCCCCCATCCCCTACAACTTTTTTTTTGGGGGGGGTCCCATGACTCCCTTCTATGGGGCTGGGCCCCTTCTAGTGACTCTCCCATGCAGGGTCCTTCCCAGCCACTAGGGCCCCTGAGGGCGTGGAATTTACCAGTATGGAGCTTGGTGGGGAGGGGCAGCACCCACATTGCCCCATGTGTTGGGGAGTGGCGGGACTGCAGTGGATAGCTGGTTCTTTGGGGCCCTCTGGAAAGTAGCCACAGACACCCATCACCAGGCTTCAGCAGTTTGTAGGGCACCCCGTAACGCTCAGTTTGTCTATATGCCTCTCATGCCTGAACATGTGATCGCTTGCCTGGCTAAAATACATGAATTGTCTTTAATTGCTCCTATCTGTCTCTGTGCGGCTCTGGGCACTGATGCTCAGATTAAGAATAGTTTATTTCAGTTCAGTTTAAATTATGTGTAAACTAAATTGAAATAAACCTGTTTAATTTGCAATAAGTGTGTCTGGTTACAGACTTTCCATAAATAACAAAAGAGTCTAATTAAAAGCACTCAAGCTAATTTCATTGCCAGTTTGTGTGTAGGCAAGCCCTCCTCCCAGCCATATTGCTCATCTGGCTACAAATTGCGGATTATGGCCAGGAACAGATTATTCATAATTTGAGTTGAGACAAAACAAAAACAAAAGGAAGTATTTCTTCACACAACGCAGTCACCCTCTGGAACTCTTTGCCAGAGGGTGTTGTGAAGGCCAAGACTATAACAAGGTTCAAAAAATAACTAGATAAGTTCATGGAAGATAGGCCCATCAATGGCTATTAGCCAAGTTGACAGGGATGGTGTCCCTAGCCTCTGTTTGCCAGAAGCTGGGAATGGGTAATGGGGATGGATCATTTGATGATTACCTGTTCTATTCATTTCTTTTGAAGCACCTGGCGTTGGCCACTGTCAGAAGACAGGATACTGGACTAGATGGGCCTTTGGTCTGACCCAGTATGGCCATTCTTATGTTCTCTGTGCACCTTACAACCTGCACACTGAAGCCCATATTTACATCTCAGTCACACTGGGTACACCTACATGGCAGACAGAAATCCACAGCACTGAGCCTCAGAGGCCAGGTGTACAGACTAGCTGTATAGATGTTCGGGCTCAGGTTGGAGCTCAGGCTCTGAAACCTGCCACCCTCCCTAGACTTCAGAGTCTAAGCTCTAGCCCAAGCTCGAATGTCTACACAGCTATTTTTAATGCTGTAGTGGGAGCCTACAGTCTGTGGACCCGGACTTTGAGACCTGCTGCTATAGGTATCTACTTGTTGTGTAGATGTACCCATTGACATAAATTAAGGTCAAAGTAAAAGAAGTACTAAGATCAAGAGATAAATAGAATGGAGTTAGTTACTCTGGATTTATACTGCTGTAACTGAAAATGGATTCTGGCCCTGAATAATACAGAGATTATCATGACCCCTACCATCAGTTATTGAACACCATCCAACCTGTACACAGAAAGATGCAGTGATCCAGAGGGAAAAAAGTATTGCTGTGCCATTATGAACTACACAATGTATACACAAGGGACAGAGGTTACAGTTGTGTGTGTAACCTTAACTTGGGCATTTTTTGACTTTTGAGCACTTACTAGAAAAATGTTAAAGCTGCAAAGTTTCATTAGAAGTAACTAAACACCCCAGGTTCTTCTATTCTTCCCCTGATGTTCAGAAATCAACAACTATTCACCCTGTAATGAGCACAGCCCTTTATCTCAGACTGAACTGACATGGAACCTACAAGACTGCTGCTAACATATTTTCTGTAAACTGAATGCTCCCATGAAAACACACTCCCTAAAGCAAAGTTTTATAAAAGCTTAAGATAACACTCTGTTCAGTGACACAATGGATTTGGATATGCATTTTTGTTGCACTTACAGATGCCTTTTTGATCTCTAACGCTTACGGTCAACTTATAAAAAATCAGAAGAGAATAAACCTGGGTCCAGTGTTTGTACTGCACAAGTACACTATGCCTCCACCCAGATGTCAGGTGAACGTTCGGTGGAATCAGGCCCCAAGACATTACTGTTTTCATTTCAGGAATTTCCAACAGTTGGCATTGCTCACTTATTTTTAGTACAGTTCAACTCACAAGAATTACTTTCAAAGATATCCTCTAACCACACAAAACTAACTGAGTTGTTTCTTTTGGCTTGATATATGGAAAGCGGTATTCTATACAGCTAACAGAACTTCAAGCTGCGCTTATTCATTCTTTTATTTCCAGGTACTCTATAGTTCCTCAACAGGGGCTGACAGAGTACACTACAACTGGAGGTATCTTTCTGTATGACATCCAAAACTGAGGTCTAAAACTTTTCACATGAGTGAAGGTGTTAGCCCAAAGCTCCTTGCCAAATTTCAACTTGATTAATGTAATTCAGTCTCCCCAACATTCCCCAGGTAGTTTCAAATGTATGCCGTACTCCTCTCAAATTAAACTGTTGTGTGATGTGCAAGTTCAACACTTGAGTTTCCTGCCAAAAGTAACTCCAGTTCAGTGACAGGCAATGAAATTCTTACATTAGTTTGCTATGTGCTCTGAGGCACATACTGAAGTAACCAAACCTGCTACATTTCACTGTTGAAAAACGTGATTTCAGACAAACATTTTAGACTACTTAGTTTGTCCATTTTTGGGAATGCAAGGAAAGAAGAGCCACCCTACATCATAAGAACGGCCAAACTGGGTCAGACCAAAGGTCCATCTAGCCTAGTATCCTGTCTTCTGATAGTGGCCAATGCCAGGTGTCCCCAGAGGGAATGAACAGAACAGGTAATCATCAAATGATCCATCCCTTGTTGCCCATTCCCAACAAGGTGGGGTGCCCTCATTAATAGTGAGGATAAGAATAACACTTATGTTTTTTTAATTGATTTTTAAAACATTACAAATATTTAATTTCCATAGAGGAAAGTTGCTTTAATGTTGGTAAATAGGGATTGTGGTGTGTAACCACCACCTTCACCTCTGTGTTACCGTCTGTGCACTGCTTGATGCAGGCAGGGCCGGCTCTAGGATTTTTGCCGCCCCAAGCAGAAACAATTTTGGCTGCCCCCCCCCTGTTTTTTTCTTACCCCACCCCCGGCCCCGCCTCAGCTCTGCCCCTTCCCCAAATCCCCAGCCCTGCCTCCTCCCCCCAGGCTCTCAAGCCTAGGAGGGAGGGGGAGAAGCAGCGCGCGTGCTGTGGCCGCTCGGAGTCTCCCCCTCCCTCCCAGGCTCTCAAACCTGGGAGGGAGGGTGAGCAGTGGCGTGCGAATCAGCTGTTTCGCGTGCCGCGGCCGCTCGGGATCTCCCCCTCCCTCCCAGGTTTGAGAGCCGCAGTGCGCGAGCAGCAGCAGCGGAGGTGAGCTAGGGCGGCCGGGCACATTTTTAGGGGTGGCATTCTGGCACCGGCCATGCCACCCCTAAAAATGTGCCGCCCCAAGTACCAGCTTGTTTTGCTGGTGCCTAGAGCCGGCCCTGGATGCAGGGGTTGTATGGAAAAATAGTACATGTTGATGTAACTAGTGTATATTGAAATGCATACACATGGAGATAGAATAAAGGTGGCACAGGCAACCTCCATATTGTCACTTGTTGGCTTTTGAGTGCATTGCTTGCAACTGTAACATTGAGTGTAGCTTTTTTTAGGGCGCTATAGAAATTGAGGACCTGTTTATACTGTAGCTCTGCTTTTGTACTGCAGTGCTGACCTGCAAAGTTCCCGGCTGTTCCAGGTCTCTTGAATATTGTGTTGAATTTTGTAATTTTATTTTTTTTATTTACTCAAATGTGCATTATTGGCTAGGATTCCTCTAGCAAGCTCTCTTCTAACATGGGCGAAAGGCTATGGTAATAATCCACAGGGCCAATGAGTCCCCTTTTGTCCATTCACTTAAATGACTGCATAATGACAGCCAGGCCTGGGCTTTTCAGTGCTTGTGGAAAGGTCCATTAGTGCAGTGATGTGTGTTAGCAGCTTGTTTTCCCCCTCATATGAAGCAATGATTTAGATAAATTGTTCTTAGCTGCACGCTCTGAAACCAAGGTCTGGAAGCTCCGTTTTATTGACTTTGGAGCCAAGAATAGTTCATTTAATTCCATCAAGCCAGTGCAGCTAATGTCTAATACAAATTGTGGCAGCTTGTTTTTAACCTTGTGCACTAAAGATCTTTGGAGCAGAAGGCCAAAACGATGACTTTTTGTTCCTACATTTTAAAAAATGGCTTGAATGATGAGATTGGAAGGATTTGTGTGCATACAAGGAAACACACCTTGTAACAATGTTACTTGTGTAATGTGCCTGCTGCACACCTGGAGAAGGGAATAGATTTGATTCTAGAGCACAGGTTCTCAGACTGTGGTCTGCGAGCTCCATTCAGGTGGTCCACGGATAAGGTGGACCTGGGCAGCCGCACACGAGTGAATGAAGGCCACCCACCTAA